TTCACCAATACAGTGTTTTTGTTTGAGGGACACCATGATTTCTCAGTTTTAATAAAATCAATAAAACCTGATGTCAGAAACTCAGATGAAAGACTCCTTTTTCCTTCCTTCAAACATGTAGAACGAACATTTCCTTGTTTTTATCCTCTCATCAGTATCATTTCAAAATATTACTTCCAAGAAAGAAGGTACTTCATTTACATGAGTTATAATTTTCTGAGTTGTTATGGGGGAACAGTTAATAATGTCTTTCTTGATTTACTTTATTCTCTGAAAGAGGTGGATAGTTAAGTGCCTTGGATGCATGGTAGACATTAAAAGCAAGGAAAAAAATCAAGATGTTTTAGAAAACCCTGTTTCCTGCACCAAATTACAACTTTCACCCAGTAGGATAATAGAGGAAATAAATGGTTCTTTCCTTGAAATGTTTACATTGTTATCTAGAGTCTTTTAAACAGTAGCAGAGCTGTGGCTCTCTTGATTTGCTCACTCATTCTGTCATTAGAGAAATACATAACTTCTTCCACAGGGAACTATTTTTCTGTCTTCACTCTTTTCCTAGGTCCTTTTCCAGTTCATCAGGGTACTGTCAGAATGCTGATGTCGTGGCAATGCTTATTTCTCCCCATGTGTGGTATAGTTGCTCAGTTATTTCTCACACTGAATGTGTTCAGGGGTTTTATGCTTGACAACAAGCAACGGGACATCAAGTCATTTTGTTTGTGGAATGCTGGCCTTCAAACACAGGTCTGTGGTTCATGAGATGGGTCTATGGAGCTGAAAAGAACATGCAGCACGGTCATAGAGAATTTTCTCCATAGTCACAAGATGTATCTTGTATTTACTATGAAGACTGATATTTGTTGATAAAACAGTGAATTTAAAAAAATATTTATTTATTTAAGCATACAAGAACTGGGGTATAGCCAGAGGTGTGTGTGGTGGGGGGGGGCGTGAGAGGATTCACCAGAGACAGAGTGGGGAGCAGAACAGGCAGACTGACTGAAATACACTGCTGAGGGGAGCAGCAGGAGAGGAAGAAGTCTGCTGTGCCATGTGGGTCAGCTCCCTGGCTGGGAATCGAACTCATGCTGCAGTGGCTGCAGATAGCTTCATAGTGCTGGGACTTAATCCCTTGCACCAACAGGGAGGCCCAAAACAGTGGAATTTAAAAAGAGATCGCTCGCTTAGATTTGAGTGGTAACTCTAGATAGTTACAGTAATTAGCACACAGATGTATCTTACAATTAATTCATTTCAAAAGAGATCTTTCATCAGCTTAAATCATTTATTAGGGAGAGATGACAACATTGGAAATCTCAGCTATGTCTTTTAAGATAAGGGGAATTAATATCTTGTGTTTAAAGAAACACTGATACTATGGAACCGATAATATATTTTTCAGAACCTAAATGCAAATATTACGCTGCTGTATCTAGCTTGTATGCAAATATCTTATAATCAAATTCAAGTCTGTACTATTGGCTTATTTTTTATTATAAATGTTCACTAAACTTACAATGAGAACAAATGTACAATATTATACAAAGGGTTTTAGAGAGGACTAAGAATTTCCTTGAAGATGCTTTACAAATAAAACCTCAGTCCAAGAAGCATCACTTGAGTTTGTATATTTCCAAGCAGCATCATATTCTAGCAGAATGAAAATGCTCCTGTGTTAGAAACTTAAAAAAAAACATTGGATGTGATTTATTTTTTCTCTGCCTAGCTATACCGAAGTTTTATTTTTCCTTTTCTGTGAGGTAGAATATGTGCCAGATAATTTGATAATAATTATTAGATAGAGACAATAATTATTTTAATGTATATTTTGGAAACTGCAATTAACATCTTATCTTGGAATTTGAGTATTATTATTATTTAATTTACTATGTAAACATGTAATTCAGTACATTTATATAATTTGTTTAAGCAAATTACTCTTAAGAAAATAAATAGAATACGGACTTTTGTCTGGAACTAGACAAGGACATCCTCAGGGCAATTTCCCATGTACTAACTTCCTTTTTCATCTCAGACCCTAAGAAGGAGGTTATCCTGAGACTAAGGGCAGGCATCCTTCCAAATGAAGGCTAAAATATGGACTGAAGGACAGACTTTTATTTTAATATGTGAAGACTAGCTGATTTGAAAATCACTGTGTAGTGCTCCTTTTCAGTGAGAGCAGCCAGACAGCAGTGAAGATGAAATGGGTTTTGAATGCAACACTTTGTTGCTGTCTATCTGTGTAGGAAGATTGAATTATTTCTTATCATTTACAAGACTTTTTCTGATGAAATTTACTTTGATTATTTCAAGACTTTTTCTGATGAAATTTACTTTGATTATTTCATGGCTCTATTTTAATTTTGTTAAGTGTAATCAGGATATCAGAATTGGGCCTCCCTGGTGGCACAGGCAGTTGAGCGCAGCCCTGTGAAGCTGTCTGCAGCCTCTGCAGTGCCGGTTTGATCCCCGCTGGCTGTGGAGCAACCCACATGGTGCAGCAGACCTCTCCTGACTCACCTGCTGCTCTCCTCAGCAGTGTATTTCAGCCGATCAACCTGTTCTGCTCCCCACTCTGTCTCTGGTGAATCCTCTCACCTCCAACACCTCTGGCCTGTATGCATAAATAAATATTATTTGTATGCATAAATAAATATTTTAAAAAATAGCAGAACTAGCATTTTAGCACTACTGGGATGTAATGATTGCTTACTGAAATGATTTTTAATTCTTAACATGATAATGGTGAAAAGTGTGAAAAGTCACACTGCTGAATCACAATAAACTGACATTTTTCCCTTAGGTCTATAGTGTCACGAGAGAAAATTAATCACTATTATAAAAACCTTAACTCACTCTGTTTTTCTTAAAATCCATCAGCTGGTTTTTTGTTTTTAGTTAAGACATAAGAAAGTTAAACTGGAAAAAAAAAAAAAGTCAAATGACCTACCTCAGTTCCAAATAATAATTGGCAGGGACTTTTATGGAAAAATCATAGCTTCTATGTCTATAAACTACTGAACCAGTCCTCAAAGTTCTTGCAATCATTTTCATTTAATTTCTTAGGAAGGGCGTTCTGGCTGGATATATACTCTAATGAGGTCTTGAAAACCTAGCAAAATCATACTTGCCTTTTTTTTTTAAAGTTAATTGGTTATTTAGGTACAAAGATCTTTATTGATAATTTAAAATATATTGCATTTATAGCTCCCCCCCCCCAAAGTAAAGAAGTCAACACTTTCTTTCTAATGTGTTTTAATTAACTTTATTTCTTTTAAGGCAAGTATATATAATTTCTAAATAATTCTCCCCATTTTTCTACAATAGCAAATTGTAAAAATGAGTAGATTTCTACTGTTCCTAGATATCAGTAAAATAAAGATAAATAAAGCAGGATGATTAAATATTTTATCTTAAATCTATATTATTCAAAGTATTCTTATCCATATTACTCAATCTGTAGTATAACCTTGTATATCCTTAAATGTTTCATTTCAAATTTTTATTTATAATATCAACTTTTACATCCAATAAAACAGCATAAAAGTCTTACCAAGTCTGTTTCATAAAGTCTATGTAAATCTGCACATATTTAATGATTGCAATATATTTCTTGAAACTACAATTATTAAATGGACAGCCCAAAGGAGCTTCTAAATTTCAGTAGAGAAATTTTGCAGATTATTTAGATTTGGTTGGTAGATGGAGCAAGAACCATCTTATTGGTGAAGCTCAGGGGCATCATTTATTTGGGAAATACAATCATTTGTCTTTTCTTGTTAATGTAAAAGTTGACTGGTTGTCTTTAATTCATGTCAAGTCATCTGCATGTTCAACTTTGCAATGACCTGCCCTGTTTCCATTATCTTTTCCCCCCCAAATAGAATAAAAATTTCCCTTCAGTGATACTCAGGGTCAATAGTTGATAACATGGAGTGACTTCTCACACATTTCTATAATCTAGTTAAATTTTAAACAACGGTCACTGTAGAGTGGTAACGCCTATCAAACAAAGAAAGGAAAAACAAGACAGCTTTCTTGTAATTTATTTTCAACTGGCTGAAAAAGAAAAGAGAGAGTCAAAGAAAGTTCCCTTGAGAACATAGTCTCATGACATTTCTAACCCGATTTCCAGGCCACAGAAATCCTGATGGATATTCAAACTCCAAATGGCTATGCAAATCAAACTTATGAATCTTTGGAGAGTCATCTTTCATTGGCTTGACTTCAGTGGGGAATAGCAGTAAGAACAGATGGGCTACTAAGGCAAAAGGTCTCCATGCTAATCATATCAAGAAAAATCCAAACCAAAGAAAGGCAAACCCTGGTTAGGTTCTTGATGGCTTTAGCTCTTCAAACGAAAAGACTTCTCTATGGTTGATTACAGATGGCAGCTGATTTTAAGGAAGCAGTGAGACTTTAGCTCTGTACATAAAGCGAACACAGGCATAGCCTAGAAAAAGAGCAAAGTCCCCTCTCCATAGTAATGATACAAACTTGAGGGGTCAATTTGAAGAATGATACAAACGCTATTTTAATACCGTGGGGCCAGGGAGGAGTTAAGGAAATTTTCAAACTCACTTAGGAGAAAAGTCAAAATGAGAAACAGAAGAAAGAGATCCAAAGAGCCCATGAGTAATTCTGAGTGATAAAATATTAAGATCTGTAAGCAAGCAGAGGCCACCAGCTCTGTGGCCAAGAACTCTGAGTCATGAAGCCAACACAGTAGACACTTCCCTCCAAGAGTAGCTCAGGGCCCGCGTAATGAGAACAAGCAAAGCCCTTTTCATTTGCAAGTACTATTCATAGCAAGTGCTGCGAGACATCCTCATTCATCAACAGAAAAAAAAAAATCTATCATGAAATGGAGAGTAAAAAGTAAGAGAAAAGTCAAAAAAACAACGGCCTCTGTGGTCCTACTGGATGAAAACATAGTCTTTCATCATCTGAAGTTGAACTGATTGGCTCCCAAAGGACCTCAAATCTTCACTTACTGATAGTAAAAGTTGCTCCATAAATGCTCTGCATGGACTCGGCGTCGGTCTCTCTTGCATTTTACAAAGTTTTGTTTGATAGGAGGTCACATGTTCTCTACGGGACACGAAGGAAAAAGAATAATTTCAGACTTTTTCTCCTAACTCATAGCAGAGTAAAGAGATAACAAAAAATAAATGTAGAAGCTGTACAGGCATTGCTTTCTAGTCCACATTTGTTCCTTCTCTCCCTTCCTAGCTTTCTTCCTTCCTCCCTTATTTGCCTCCTCTGCCTCCCTCCACCGTGTCTCTGTCTCTGTCTCTGTCTCTGTCTCTGTCTCTCTCTCTCTCCCCACCACCTTGTGCTTTGTTTCTATTTCTTTCTATTTATTCCATTTAAAAGAAACTGTGTCTTTTGCAATGACCAGTAAACCCAAATGCAGACCAAAACACTGCAGTTCTGACTCTCCCTTCAGGCTCTTTCCACAGAGTAAATGATTAATTTATTAGGGCAAGGGAAAAAAAAAAAAAAAAAGGAAGTGACATTTTTTTTCAAACACTGTCAACATGATGACTTGACCTCTGAGATAGGCTGAAGAACAAAAAGGAAGGATTCTTTCTAAAGCTTTTCTTCTCCAGGGCTTGACACTAAGTGTAGCTAATTGTCAGCAGCATTATGAAATCCTAAACCCGTTCCATGAACCTCTAGTTAGAAGCAGACCTTGGCTGAGAATGACTCAAGCAAAGTTTCCTTCTTCCCTGCTCCCCACTCCCTCCCCTGTTTTTGGTTGTTTTCCCTCCGTCCATTGTATGACATCCAAGATTTCACATGGAAATACCCCATGGCTTGTTTTTCTGTGCAGGTTAAAATCAACCTTAATTTTGTTATTTTTCCCCCTAAGATGTCGCCCATCCCATTAAAATGATTAGGCATTTCTTTTGAAGAGTTACCTGAGGTAAAAATCTAATTGGCACGTTGGCCACTGAAAAATGATGCCAAAGGCGGAGCCGTACCAGCCAGGCTGCTCGGTGGCGAGCTTTCCTTCTGCAGAGGCTCGATTTCACGCCGTGATTCAGATCCCACGTGTTTGACACTGATGATAAAGCGTCTGTGGTTGTTAGGCGTTTCAAAATGGAACTGTGTTTCCTCAATAGAGAGAACTAACCAACATTAAATATCACATTTAAGTACACAACAGTTATAGATGGAATGACAACATGTACCCTGGTTCCTCCCAGGGAGACATTGTTGCTGAGCTGGAAGGTTCCTGTTGCTTGGTGTTGGTATTGGAAGTTCCAGAATGGGCAACCATTTAACCATTTAAATGGTTTGAATGAGATTATGTTTTACAAACTGGGTTTTCAAAGTGGAAATTGTATGCAAACAACTGAGCTGAAGGAGAAGATGTAGGAAAAGATTTCAATGGTAGCTTCATTTGTTTCCCCAGAAAAACAAAATGGCGCTTGACACTGATGGGAGATTAGGGTCGATTCTGACCAGTGATGAAACGGATGGCTTTAAACCAGTCTAGAGTGAATTTCTGTACTACCAAAAATATTTCTTTTACAGGAAAAACTTCAACTCTTGTGAGAATGAAATGTGCTAGTAGTGATCAAAACTCCGCAGTGGACCATGGCGGAGACAATCTTGGGAGGTCAATCTTTTCAGTGATGGCTTTTGTGTATTAAGACTTGAATCCTCAATGCTTCTTCAAGAGGAAGCAAATGCATGTACTGAGTGGGAAGGAATCCAGAGTAGTGCAACCAGGGAGTTTCTACCTCTGCCTTTTCAGCCTATAATCAATTGGGTTTGATTCCTCTTCCTTGAACTCAAACATCTAATGTCAATTTTGACATGAAAAGAATTCCCATTAGGTAAGAGTGAGAAAGGACTCCCTTGCTAACATTTTGTTCTATGAATTTAAGAAGTGAAACATAGAATTATCATTGCAGAGACAGCTTTCTGTCCTCATGGTCTCCACCCCACCCTATCCATCCAAATTAAATCCATCAGAATGTCCACTAAATTAATTCTTTGGTTGCTAAGGTTTAGAAGGCATGCTGTCTTTCAGTGTTGCAAGTTTCTCAGTATTACAAGTGTCTCCTTTTGGTTCATTCTAAGTTTTTCTTCTTGTTGCAAATTATATATATATATTTTTTTATATATATATAAAATTCAACTTTCACCTCTTACTAATCATGCCACAATGGGGAATCAGCACCTCCCTTCTGAACCTTATTTGACATTTTCATCAATAAAATCAGGATAATTTGATGGGAAGTGTGAAAACGCATATAAATCAACACAGGCTTTGACATATATTGGCTAAAATAACAAAAGTAACATTAATAGCAAAAACAGTATGTACGGAAATCACTTTCCTTCTGTTGGAAATTCTATTGCAGGTAAGTTCTATAATTGTAATATTTGCTAGCATAATGACAAGCTTTCTATCAGGCTTTTTACTCACTGAATAAACTAACTCGTAGGAGTACTAAAATGATATCTCAAGCATAGACCCTCTGAAGTTCCATTTGATTGGTTTCAAACTTGATGAGAAATTTTGGACCCTTTTCTTCTATTTATTTAGAACACCTGGCATCCCAGAAAAGTGTTGAAAAGGCAGTAAGGGAAAATGTGTCATGTGAGATTTGCCAAACAGACCTTGGGTCTTGGTTGTATTGTTGATATTTTGCCATGAGCTATGTGGTGCACCTCCTTAGTGTTCACTGTGCATGGGATACAATAAGTGGTTTCATTTTCTTGGGAGTGTACATGCAGGGAAGCCTCCACCCAGAGACAGGGGACTGTGGTGAGGGGTTGCTGGCTCCGCAGTGAACACGTTTTGCTTCAGCAGCTTACCATGTTCTTCTGTAAACAAACTCTCTAATTTAATATCATGTTAACATGCTGCCATTGCCGACTTTTTCCAAAACAGTTTTACCCAACTGCCCATCCACTGATGAATGGATAAGCAAAATGTGGTATTACAATTCAATAGTATCCACTGGTTGAAAAATAAAGGGCAGAAGCACTAATACCTTCAACCTGGTTAACCAAAATGAACCTCAGAATCCTTACGCTGAGTGAAAGAAGCCAGACACAGAAGCCTGAATAGCATAGGACTCCATTTCTATGAAACAACCAGAAAATGCAAATCTATAGACAGAAAATAGACTTGTGGTTGTTTGAGACTGGGCAGAGGGAGTGACTGCAGAGATTTCATGCAGCCGATGGAAATGTCACGAAGCTGGCTTATACTGATGCTTCCAAAGCTTTGTAAATTTACCCCAAATCACAAACGATACCAGTTACAATGAGTGAATGTCATGGTGTGTAAATGAATCTCAATGAAGTTCTTAAAACCATGCTGATTGGAGAAAGTCCTTGTTTAGCACTATTGTCCTAAATATTTTTGCAGCAGGGAACTCAAGAAACCTTTAAAAGGAGATGGTCAGGAACGCACCATTGGGGGAGCCTGACGAGGGATGTCATTTTGGTAAATTGCCCTTTCACAACCACATAACTCTCTACTCGATATTATTGGAACAAGTGATGAAAATGTGAGGCAGACAGGTTCACAAAGCACCCAGCATCCATTCTGGGACTTGTGCATAAATTATCTTCATTACTTCTTCTATTTACCCATCTGTCTAAAACGTCAACCCAATGAAAGACGGTAAGGAAGAGTCATGGGGAATTATTTATTTATTTGTGTTTGCAGTGCCCTCTCTGTCAGATGTTTTACAGATTAAGAACAAGGGAGGGGAAAGTTCTGCACCAGGGAAAACAAAACTAAGGCCAAGTTTTCTTTCTGTCATTACTCTACTGCCCCTCCACCCCTCCTGCTCCTTCCCACCTCCCCCCACCAGCCTCATATGGCGACTTTGACAAATGACAATGCAAGAAGAGAATTTATGTTGGGTCTTGGAGATTAGCACATTATCACAAGCAAAACAGAGCCCTCAGCCTCCGCCACCAGGGAGCAATTGAAAAAGTCTTTGAATGTGACAGATGGGTCAAGACCCATTTCTGCAGAAGCGAGGATACTGTTATGCAGGGACTTGTCTGGGTAAAAGCCCTTGGAGAGCCAGGTGAAGACACTTGGGCCTGGATGAGGAGCATTTAGCCAGAAAGCTCATTCTGGAAAGGAAAGAGGAACCGGGTAACTCCCCAAAGACCCCTGTGTTGAATGATTTAAGGCTACCTGTAGGAAATGCCTTTTACTTTATTGCTTTTTAGTCTCTTTTCTTTTCAAGGGAAAAAAAAAATCACAACACAAGCCTTCCCTTCCTTCAACTCCTGTCAGAGTTGCCCAGGAAGTTTTAGTAGAAATTACCCCATCACTTTCTTGTAATTTCTCCAATAATCACAAAATAATCTGCAAGTGGGACCCCAGATTAAAGCACAATGGGCAATAGAATGTTTTGCTATTTTAAAAAAGGTTTGATTATATGAACACTTATTTTAAAAGCTTGCAAGTTTCATTGAGACTATTAATCACAAAACCATTTCAGGGAAAAATTATAAATACAATTTTGGGGCTGAAATGTAATTTTTGGACTGAAAGACACTCAGGGTCCATACAATATTAATTCATTCTTTGAATTATATTAACCGGATGGTCTCACTCATAGCAGGAATCTAGAAAACTTAAATAAGAGACCAGGAAAAAGAATAACTATAAGAAAGTGATAATCAAAATCGACAAACAACTATGAACCAGAGACACTCTATGGAGGGTGGGGGGTGGGGAAGGGAGGGATTGGGGTCAAAATAAGGGGGTTGCAATTGTATGGGGAATATAAAAATAAAATTAAAATTTTAAAAAAATTGATTTTAAGTAGTTAAAAAAATGTGGGGAAACTAATTTTGAGAAAGTATTTGAAAGAAAAGTTGTTTCTAAAGGTCATAAATAACTGTAAATCACTATAATGATTTAATGTTTGGACATCTTGTAGGTATGTGACAAATAAGAAGTAAGTGAGGATAAATGATTTAAGAAACTTTGTATGAAGGGTGATGGAATGGTATTTATAATTTAACTTCTTGGGCCCTACATACTACAGACTATTCACATTTGGGAATATCCTGTGTACTTAAAGTTGGTTAGTAGAATCTTTGATCTCTCCACACTAGATACTAGTAGCATCCTCTACCCCCTGTTGTGTCAACCAAAACTGTCATCAGACATCTCAAAATGTCCCAAGGAGGTGGAAACAAATCAGACCAGATTGAAAACCACTGATTTAGACAAAATTGTTTTACACTCCAGTTTCAACATTGCTTTTATGTGTGTCATTTTTACCAGTAAAAACCTTTCCGTGGAAGTTACTGATTTACCAGTAAGCCCTACATATTTCTCTTGGCCAAAATTCATGTGGATTCTGGGTGTTAGGTGCTGTAGTTATACTGAGAATCTGGCATCATTTCATCATTGTTAGCTCTTTTGACCCACATGTGTGGAGGCAGTCGTTCACACAATAGTCAGAACAACAACAGAAATTGAATGTTTCCCAGGTGGCAAGTATTTAGTTGAGGATTCTACATTATACTTTTGAATCTCACAAAAGTTATGAGATGGTGGTAGCTGTTATAATACCCATTCATTGGATGAGGCTTAAATAAACATATCAAGGTTTATTGGTTGGTGAATCTGGGATTACCCAGTTTAAAGAAGACATCTTTAAGAAATCTGAATTTATGGGCACATGAATGGACACATTTCTATAGCGCCTTTTTAAGTTATAGAGCAATCTCTAGGAATGGAGGCCACCATAGTTCCCCTCCTTATCTGAAAATGAAATATGCACCCATGCTTCAGGGAAAAGCTCACCTTACTCTTGTAGTGTCTGTGCCTGCACACATAAATATGCTTCTGTTATCTCAGAGATCCTGAATGTCTCCATTTCAGCCAATGCCCTTCCTCTCTCCCTTCCTTTCTTTCTCTTTTTCTCATTCTCTCTTTCTGAAGCTGCCTAGGTAGTTAGATTAAAGCCAGGTACTTTACCAATGTGACTTTGTCCCCAAAGGGGACATTTGGCAATGTCTAAAGACATTTTTGATTGTCACATCTAGAAGAATGCTGCTATCATCTAGTGGCTTATGGCCAAGGGTACTTGCTGAATGATTTAGATTTTGCAGGATAGCCTCATGCCGCTAAATGCCATCCAGTCCAAAATGTTAACAGTGCCGAGACTGGATGAGAACTCCTGGGCTAGAAGAACACAAT